GTCAAAAAGGTAAAATTTGGTGGAACCCAAAGAAAGGTCTTATCACAAGGAATACACATGTGAAACATGAAAGTCATAGCTCTACTAAATCAAAAGTTATGGGTAAGGTTAAAGTTTTTGTGACGGACAGACAGACGGATGGACAGACGAATGAGATTTAATGTCCCCTCGCTTTCGCGGGGGACAATAATAAATTAAACAAAGAAGGTTTTCTCTCAGCGAGAGGCTAATAATAGTAACATATTTACTTTAGTTAATATTTCATGATTTCATTTAGAGTATATCTGATGTGGTACTCCAATAATTCTCCTCATGACATGATAAAGAATCCTTTAGCATGCAAGTCACAGATCAAGAAGAAAATATATAATCGAAGGAAATGACTCCAAGACACCATAGTGCTAGCTGTTAGAAGATCATGAGGATTAATTAGTGACATTTCAAATGGAAGAAGTTTGTCTCGGCATCTGCCATGGCTTATGACCGAGTCAGTCTGGATTCAACATAAACAAATGTCTCTTTGAATTATGTTTAATAAGATTATATCATTGATTGTAAAAGCTTTATAAATGTTTATGTATGAAACACAATTCCAAAGCAAATGGTACTGTATGATAGTACGTACAGTATGTATAAATTAATCTTTTAAAAAGATTGAATTTTAAGAAGTGTGCATCTTTTGTTTTTAGGTTAATGTAATTCTGTCTGTACGCTCTTGATGATTAAAGGTATAACCATGCAGAAATGAGATTAAGAATTTGATTGTAGTTTTTAGCTCTACTGGTCAGAGACCAGAAGAGCTTATGCGATAGTGATGCGTCCGGCGTCCGTCCGTCTGTCTGTAAACAATTTTTCAAAACGCTACTCTTCCTACAATTTTAGTCTGATTTCAGTATTACTTGGCACACAAGTAGACTACACTAAGATACGTAGAATAGTGCATCGGTTTTTAATTTCTATGAACGGTGTTGCCATGGTGACTAAAAATAGAATTTTCTGTGAAATTCCTTTAAAACGCTACTCCTTCTACAGTTTTGGTCTGATTACAGTATAACTTGGCACACATGTAGACTACACTAAGATACATAGAATAGTGCATTGGTTTTTGATTTCGATGAACGGTGTTGCCATGGTTACTAAAAATAAAATTTTCTGTGAAATTCCTTTAAAATGCTACTCATTCTACAGTTTTGGTCTGATTTCAATTTAACTTGGCACACAAGTAGACTACACTAAGATACATAGAATAGTGCATCGGTTTTTGATTTCGATGAACTGTGTTACCATGGTTACTAAAAATAGAATTTTCTGTGAAATTCTTTTAAAACGCTACTCCTTCTACAGTTTTAGTTTGATTTCAAAATAAGTTGGCACACAAGTAGACTACACAAAGATGCATAAAATAGTGCAATGGTTTTTGATAAGTACAAACCAGTAGAGCTACAGTCTTGACAGAGACTTCTGGTTTCTTAAATTTGATTTAGAAGAGGAAGAGGCCTGGGGCCTATTTTTTCGCTTCTGGTTCATACTAGAAAGATTGTTCAGTACATGTTTAGCACAGCATTAGTTTGGTCTTATAATGGACCCCTTGCCCATTATCCACTTGAGTTATTTGTGTGATTTTAAAGAAAGTTTTGTATGAGACATCTGCTTAAAGAAGATGATTAACATGTCCTAGCACTAGATAGCCTGTCTCACAAAATTTCTTATTTATAAAGTCAGCTTAATTTAAGTATGGAAGAGAGAATAAGCAGATTAGGACAATGCTAATGTTTGGTCAAATGGCAAACGGAAAAAAAATCTTTTCCTGTGGGAATTTTAATATTGAACCACAAAACAAAAAGTTTAGTATTTATTAAATTTTCTATTTTCCTTGTGATACTACTAGTTAACTATTTCCAGTTTGTTGTTATTCATACTGTATATGTATTTCTACGATGTTTTGCTCCCCTGTGCTGAAAGCTCAAGTGAGCTTTTCTGATCGCCCATTGTCCATTCATCTGTAAGTTTAAAAAGAGTCCCTTGGTAAAAGAAGTTATAAATTGTGAAAATGAAGGGCCAAATACCCCCCCCCCCCTTCTAAGGGAGATAAACAAGAAAATGCAAAAAATGGAAAGGGTCATTAAAAATAAAATTTTCTAAACAACTTGACCAGATAAGCTCAAACTTAATTAAGTGGAAGCTTTCTGAGGAAATGCAAATCCTATATTTTTACCTTACACCATATTTTTTAAAATTGTTAAAACTGCATGTTATTTAATGCACAAAAGAGGTCTGTTTGTGTGTTTATCCATCTGTAACAAGTTTCTGTCACAGTTTTCTCAGCAACTGCTCCTCAAAAATGCTGGAAATTTTAACATTGTCTTTGTTTATGGCATGTAAGGTATTTTTTTAGGGGTAGGGGCATGTAGGGGTATTACTCGTGAGCTTCATGGACCATATGGTCTTTTGTATTGTATATTGATTGTTTGTATTAAAAGGCTACTGAATACAAACATTTTAAATATCATGAAAGAACAAAATAAATATTTTACTTTCATGCCCTAACCCCTCCAAAAAAAATGGACTAAAAATAATCAAAGTACTGAGCAGTACTGAAAGACAAAAAATCTTTTATTTCTCTGACATTTTAACAATTGACAACACGTCTTGCAGATTTTTAAAATACAGTCAAACATGTTCTTTTAAAATTGTCATAAATAATATATGAACTGTTAACTAACCATTAGATATAACTGTTTAAAAATTCGCCATACCCTCAAAGAAAAGTTATGGGTGTCGGATGGAGTGCAAGTGATAACATCAGATTCGTTGGTTTTGGCTGTAATTTCCTCAACCACCACACTCCATTCGCTGATCAGATAACATCATAATAGAATAATCACCAGTCTGATCAGTTCATAAAAACTGTCATACATGTACTACTGTCCTTAAAACATTTATATTCTGTTTTGAAAAACCTAAAATGTTTCACATGGCCGTCATACTTATTTCATCTCTGACTATAAAACGCTTGCAGGGTTTTTTTTTTTTTGAGGGTCAATAGTGGAAGCGTTTACATGATTCTGATCACAACTAAGTAAAATTCAAACTAGAGGTACTGTGAGCAATGAGCTCACTAAATGATACCCCCCGCCTCCCATAATGTCGATGTGTTGCTTTATATTGTTTTACGGTAATGTGTAAAGAGGAATAACTCCTCCTATCAATGTTATCCAGAAGCTTCTATTATGTGACGTCATAGGTAAACAAAAAATGGCAATGTCCATGTTTTGCTCTGGGAAACCTAAAATACGTGTCGAATAAAAAAGTAAAATAGGAGGTGCACGATGGCAATATGTAATAAAGATTCTGTGAAAGTTTCATTAAATTTTACTCAGTAGTATAAGAGGAGTTGTGGATAAGAGATAAAGCGTAACAGACGGACGGACGGACGTACAGATGGACGGACGGACGGAAATCCCGATTACTATATACCTCCCGCTTTTCAAGCGGGGGGTATAACAATGTACGGTCATTTCCGGATTTTTTTCATATGATTGAAGTAAAGTTCGATCGGCGATTATAAAAAAAGGATTGAATGGAATTTTTATTTTTTTTCCAAAACTTAGAAAAATGGGGTCGGCGGATCCGTAAAACAACCAATAAAAAAAATTTGGCCCAAAGGTGATTTTTTAAAATCAAGCTTAGATAACAACTTAATTTTGTTAAGCAACACACTTAAAACAAAAGTGTTAATAATATATATATCCTCACGTTTTTCATTTACTTTGGACTAGAAAATTCAAAAATTGCTAAGAATAGAAACCTTTTTGAATTGTCCGAATTTCATTTGGTCCGAATTAATATTTTCCAGAAGTAAACAATGAATGATGCGTATGCAGTCGAAATACTATGCAGGAGAGTACTTTGTTTACAAGTGTGATTTACAATTAATATTTTCAGTTTTAGATTTTCAAAACGTTTCATTAATTTGAGTAAAAAAAATTCATATCACTTTCTTAAGTTTGAAAGAGAATGGTTGTATTTTGATCAAAACAATTTCTGCACTCTTTCTCAAGCTTAGATTTAATTCGTTTGTTCTCCCCACGGCTTCCGTATTGAGGCCTCGACTGACAGTAAACTAATAGACGGGGTCGGGTTTATATCATTGAATTTGAAGTTTTGTTGTTAATTTATTGAATTAAAGCGTGATTTTGTGACAGTGTGAAACATGAGTGACAACATGAAAAAAATCTGTCCCTTTTGTTACATTAACTGTAAAAAAAATTTTAAAATGTACTACAAAGCATTGGTTATCCTAGTTGTAAGTCACATCAAAGGAGTAGAGTTTGCTGAAAAATTACAAGAATGTACGTGATATCAAGAATTGGAGAACAATTAATTCCAACGTACAGATTTTTACTCTGTTCTTTATTATTTTTTTTTTCCTCCCAAAGGTAACTTTTTGTAAAGAAATGGTTTTGGATCTTTGCTATATCTAGAAATCAAGAATTCTTTATAATCTGAGATTCTTTATAAGCAGGTTTAGCTGTATATCATAGTAAACAGAAAACTATGAGAAACCCATGAGAGGTGATAAAAGATTTTATATGAAATGAAGTTCAGTTTGTTAGTCCCTGAAGAAACATTTAGAGATGGCACTCGGATAGATTTGCAATATCAAATGTTTTCAATGTCAAATGTGTTTGATAAGTTACAGTCATATATATGGCAGACTAGAGGAGTCTTCAGCTCTAGCATATGTCAACATGCAATTTGATTTCTTCCATTGATTTTATTTCGGGAAAAATAGTTTAATGGATGGGGAGCCCGAGGGAAGGGGGTAAGGTAACTATGTTCAGCTAGAAAAAAGGACAGGACAGTTTTTATTATCCTTATTATATTCATGTATCTTAGTAGAATTCAAGCAATTTATATTAATATAATTGATATTTATGATTGGTTTGATATTTCCTTCCGATTTTTTATCCTGTGCACTATGATTGTTATCTTTCCAGAATATAAATTTATCAATTGCAACGCCTTTGGATCAGCTGGCCCTATGCAGTCCCAGTGTGACTCGGTTTATAAATCCACCAAAACAGATGTCAAGATTGTGGACAGCGGGTCTCTTCATGGAATACAAATGTGGACTGTTCCTGAAAATGGCACCTATGAGTAAGCTGTATTTTTAGCTCACATGAGTCAAAGGCTCAAGTGAGCTTTTCTGATCAAAATTTGTCCATTTTCTTTCATCGCTGTTGTTGTCATAGTCTTCATAAACTTTTCACATTTTCATCTTCTTCTCAAGAACCACTTGGCCAATTTCAACCAGACTTGTCAAAGTATCCTTGGGTGAAGGGGATTCAAGTTTGTTCAAATGAAGGGCCAAACCCTCTTCCAAGGGGAGATAATTATGAATTGATGAAAAATTAATGGCATCTTTTAAAAATCTTCTCAAGAACCATTAGGCATGGAAATATGAAACTTATGTGGAAGCATCCTCAGGAAGTGTAGATTTAATTTTGTTTTTGTTTTTTTGGTCTTTTCATTTATGGAATTGAGATTTAGAATAAATATAGCAACTCCTTGAAATGTGTTTTTAATTCATATTTCATATCATGCATGGTTGGGCCACAAAGTGTTTTTAGCTCACCTGAGCTGAAAGCTCAAGTGAGCTTTTCTGATCACATTTTGTCCGGCGTCCGTCAGTCTGTAAACTTTTCACATTTTTGACTTCTTCTCAAGAACCGCTGGGCCAATTTCAACCAAACTTGCCACAAAGTATCCTTGGGTGAAGGGGATTCAAGTTTGTTCAAATGAAGGGCCACGCTCTCATTAAAGGGGAGATAATTGGGAATTAATGAAAATTTGGTGGCAAATCTTCTTCTCAAGAACCACTGTGCCAGGAAAGATGAAACTTATGGGGAAACATCCTCAGGTAGTGTAGATTCAAGTTTGTTCAAATCATGACCCCCGGGGGTAGGGCGGGGCCAAAATGGCCGACCAAAGTTTTACATAGAAATATATAGGAAAATTCTTTAAAAATCTTCTTCTCAAGAATAACAAAGCCATAATTCATCATATTTATATGGAAGCATGCTCAGGTAGTGTAGATTCAAGTTTGTTCAAATCATGACCCCCGGGGGTAGGGCGGGGCCACAATGGCCGACCAAAGTTTTACATAGAAATATATAGGAAAATTCTTTAAAAATCTTCTTCTCAAGAATAACAAAGCCATAATTGATCATATTTATATGGAAGCAGTCTCAGGTAGTGTAGATTCAAGTTTGTTCAAATCATGACCCCCGGGGGTAGGGCGGGGCCAAAATGGCCGACCAAAGTTTTACATAGAAATATATGGGAAAATTCTTTAAAAATCTTCTTCTCAAGAATAACAAAGCCATGATTGATCAGATTTATATGGAAGCATTCTCAGGTAGTGTAGATTCAAGTTTATTCAAATCATGCCCCCCGGGGGTAGGGCGGGGCCACAATGGCCGACCAAAGTTTTACATAGAAATATATGGGAAAATTCTTTAAAAATCTTCTTCTCAAGAATAACAAAGCCATGATTGATCATATTTATATGGAAGCATCCTTAGGTAGTGTAGATTCAAATTTGTACAAATCATGACCTCCGGGGGTAGGGCGGGGCCACAATGGCCGACCAAAGTTTTACATAGAAATATATGGGAAAATTCTTTAAAAATCTTCTTCTCAAGAATAACAAAGCCATGATTGATCAGATTTATATGGAAGCATTCTCAGGTAGTGTAGATTCAAGTTTGTTCAAATCATGCCCCCCGGGGGTAGGGCGGGGCCACAATGGCCGACCAAAGTTTTACATAGAAATATATGGGAAAATTCTTTAAAAATCTTCTTCTCAAGAATAACAAAGCCATGATTGATCATATTTATATGGAAGCATCATTAGGTAGTGTAGATTCAAATTTGTTCAAATCATGACCCCTGGGGTTAGGGCGGGGTCACAATGGCCGACCAAAGTTTTACCTAGAAATATATAGGAAAATGCTTTAAAAATCTTCTTCTCAAGAATAGCAAAGCCATAATTGATCATATTTATATGGAAGCATTCTCAGGTAGTGTAGATTCAAATTTGTTCAAATCTTGACCCCCGGGGGTAGGGCGGGCCACAATGGCCGACCAAAGTTTTACATAGAAATATATAGGAAAATTCTTTAAAAATCTTCTTCTCAAGAATAACAAAGCCATAATTGATCATATTTATATGGAAGCATTCTCAGGTAGTGTAGATTCAAGTTTGTTCAAATCATGACCCCCGGGGGTAGGGCGGGGCCAAAATGGCCGACCAAAGTTTTACATAGAAATATATGGGAAAATTCTTTAAAAATCTTCTTCTCAAGAATAACAAAGCCATGATTGATCAGATTTATATGGAAGCAGTCTCAGGTAGTGTAGATTCAAGTTTATTCAAATCATGCCCCCCGGGGGTAGGGCGGGGCCACAATGGCCGACCAAAGTTTTACATAGAAATATATGGGAAAATTCTTTAAAAATCTTCTTCTCAAGAATAACAAAGCCATGATTGATCATATTTATATGGAAGCATCATTAGGTAGTGTAGATTCAAATTTGTTCAAAATATGACCCCCGGGGGTAGGGCGGGGCCACAATGGCCGACCAAAGTTTTACACAGAAATATCTAGGAAATTTTTTTAAAAATCTTCTTCTCAAGAATAGCAAAGCCATAATTGATCATATTTATATGGAAGCATTCTCAGGTAGTGTTGATTCAAGTTTGTTCAAAATATGACCCCCAGGGGTAGGGCGGGGTCACAATGGCTGACCAAAGTTTTACATGAAATATATAGAAAAATTCTTTAAAAATCTTTTTCTCAAGAATAGCAAAGCCATGATTGGTCATGGGACTACTTTTGGATTTAAACTTTTCAATAATAAACCAATTTCGACTTTTTCCTAGCCACAGTGCTCAGGTGAGCGATGTGGCCCATGGGCCTCTTGTCATTAAACTGAAATAAAACGTTTTACATTTTGATGTTCCTAGAGTATTGAAAATACATATAGTTCCTACTGTGTATTCTAACATGTGGTCACAAGTTTAGCGTGTGTTCTAGAAATATGAACGTCGTGGATTTCTAATGGATTTCAATAAGGAATGTAAATATTTAGTTTATAAACCATAAGCCCCTTGGGAAAAGTGTGACCTTAAAGCTGGTGCATGGAAATTTATTGAAACAACTGATCAGCTATTAAGTACAAGAAGCCCACGGGCCTTATAGGTCACCTGAGTATTGTGTAACAACTTTCAAACAATTAAATTTGGTTCGTGTTTTAAACCAGAGGCCATGAAATTCACAATTTACAATTTTGAAAGAGGCACCATTGCTTATCATAATTTTTAACTTAGAATGCTTACTCTATTTACTTATTACCCAGAGGTAGATCAGAGTAACAAAGAGAAAATGCACTTCCACTTTATACCCAGTTGTGCTACTCACCCTAAAGGAACCGCTGACCCATGGGCTACATATTTCAAAATTTTGCAAATGTTATCATAAAATGGTTGATTAATACCAAAGAGCAGATTTCAAAGCAATAATTTATTTTCAGACTATGTAACCTCCCACCCCCCTCTGACCCTGGGGGCATAAAGAAACCACTTTGCTTGATGCACCTTTCTTCATCATAAATATATATATATACTTGGATCATTGGCATAAAACCCAGAAGCAAAGGAAAATATTTTCAAAGAATTAATGTATTTTTACTATATAATCAATAGAGCCCCGCCCTAACACCAGAACCCCTAACCCTGGGGCCATAAAATTCACAATTTTGGTAGAGGCACTCTTGCTCATCATAACTATGTGCTTAGTCAGTTTATTTAATACCCAGAAGCAGAGAAGAAGATTTGCAAAGAATAATGAATTTTAACTATATAATCAATAGAGCCCTGCCGTAACAACAGAACCCCTGACCCTGGGGCCATAAAATTCACAATTTTGGAAGAAGCACTCTTGCTCATCATAACTATATACTTAGTTAGTTTATTTAATACACCAGAGTTTTTGAAATCCACCGGTCCCACCGGCAAAACTGGTAAATATTTCGAAAGTCCTGTTATTTTCTTCATGTAATCGGTCCGAAGGACCGGTAAAACAAATTGGATCTTTCCGGAATCTTAACCTCTTAACCTCTGAATTTTAAGTTTATGTGTGAGATTGTCAAAAGTATTGAATCTGTGTGTATGAAAAAATACACTCAAGGGCTTTTACGACAGTTAGTCATGATTTTTTTCTGCCAATATTATCTGTGTTTGTTCGATCAATCAGCTGATTCAATTTGTACAGAAATAATAACTGTAGCTTTATTTGGGATGCAACATATGTCAACCGAATTGCTAATCATCATTTACCATAA